TTAATTTATAATGCATCATTGTTATTTGCTTTAGGTCAATAAAGACTTACCGACGACACGTGTGAATATCATATGTGCAATACCTTAAAATTAATCTAAATGTTTTGAAAATATTATGGTGTTTATAAAATATAATCATGTATACACAAATGCTTCAAGTCCCCACGAATAATATTTTTGAACTACATTCAAGAAAATAACTTGAATAGTTTTTTTTTAAATAAAAAATGTCATTAAAATTTGAATTTCAAGTGTCTATAAAAAAAAAATTGAACTTAATAGCATATACAGAGCCAAGATATTATTTTGAAAATTAATACATTTCTGAGAAAATTTCAAGGTTCCACTGCTGCAGTTATTAATTTTTAGGTTGCACATAAAAAACAAAATCATTTTTTTGAAAATTTTTTTTTTTGATTTTCCTGAATATTTTGAAAAGTACTGGACATTTTTCACTATCTAGAGTCAATTTTTTTCTCAGAATCCACCCTCAAAGTTGAAAAATATTTTAATTGTTCCAATAAGCGATGACCGACACAACTCCAATTAAAAAAAGAAAAACACACACACACATAATATAACTAAGAATAAAAGCCGTCATTATAAATTATAATATATTAATATCGAACAAGTCGTATAGTAATGACCATCGAATAGTTTAATAATGAGTTATAAATCGCATAACAAAATCATACTAAACTTAGTAGGAAAAAAATCTTGTTGCCTCCTGCACAGTGCAAAATCATCCATAGTATTAGAATATGAATTAGTAATGACTAAAAGTAATATTCAGGTATATGTCTGTAATCTGTATAGTAATAATTAGTAATTAATAGAATATGTAGGTACCTAATATAGTACAACTGTATATAACAGGTACTAAATACTAATGGTACTATATATTTGTATACCTAATTATATTATGGATGATATTTATAAATTATTCGTCCAAAGATAATCTTATATTATGTTATTTACTAACGGACACCATTTCAATTTATTTTAAGAGTGCCAAATTTAAGGCGGGCCACTTCCGAAAATATTTAACACCATCAAGCAACAAGTCCTTACGTTGGTATGTAGTTACTATGTACTAGATAGGTAATAGTCAATAGGTCCGTACTAAATTATATAATATATTGATCTATTGAAATAATAATCATCTCGGACGTTTATAATTTAGGTATGTGAATATTATTGATGTACGTTTTGGTTAAACACTGATAAATATACGACCATAAGCATAAGGAAATTTGAACGATATAAAATAATAGGTAGGTACTTAACTATATTTTATACAAGATACCACCGTGTTTGATTTTACAGAATAAAAAAATACATTTTCAGCGTTTGACAAAGTTACGATGAATTTTCTAATAAACCGGGTCCCGAATGTTTTGGTGGTTAGGTATATTCTTCATGCACTGGTCGAATAAATATATAGGTACCTAGGTACCTAAACTATTAAATACTGATATTATATTACTTTGTGTTTTATTTTGTAGCGGCGGAGTTGTGGACACACAAACGTCGTCGTCGGTTTGACAGTTCCAAACGAGGTTAGGTTTTAGAAGATTGTCGTAGTAAAAATAATAATTACTATTATTATTGCTTGAGTCGTTACACCGGCGACACATATCACACGTCGATCAAAGAAGATAGGTACATACAGTGGATACCAGATGAAACAGTATTATATTATATAAAAAACGTGACATTTAAACACGCAATAGACTGCGATTATATATATAGATACGTATAAATGTACTTTGTTTCTCCTTGGTCAAGTAATATGATGATCAATTTTCACTATAAAAGAGTTCTTTTATTAATTATTAAGAAACAAATATAAATAATAATAAACATACTATTTATAAAAGAAAATCGATTTTTCATAACTAATAACTTTCTACTTTCGAATAATACAAAATATAATAATAATTAATAACAGTAAAAATACATGTAATATCTACTTAATAGTAATGTTAATAGATGGTACCTACCAGTGTCACAATTAGGATTCTTGGGACCCCGGACACATTCAATGTATGAGGGGCCCTGAAGTCTATGTATAATATAATATTTTTTATATTTTAGGTACCTATACAAAAATAAATAATGATGGTGATTTTCTTTTTAAAAAAACAAAATTTTTACAAGGACTTAAAACACTGAAAATCTTGAACTTAGATCATAACTACTTGTCACTACTACTACTATCAATACTTGCATCATAGATATACATCTTAACTGGTCGCAACACATGGGTTAACGAAAAAAAAAAATTGAAAAATTTGCTTGAGCGCTTAACTAGATTATAAATTTATGACACTAAATTAAAAAAATATTTTAGAGGTTTTAAGAAATTGTCTTTAAATTATCACATTTAATTATTTTATATAGTGATATTATTGGTAGGTTCAGTTTCTATTTTATAATAGATCAATAGCCAATAGGTACATTAATATTCAAGTCTATACAAAAAATTCAACTATAGTTAAATTCCTAAAAAAAATCTGAAGTTGAGTGTTGGCGAATTCAGGCAAACTCAGTTTACAAAAGAAAGAAAAAATGTAAAAAAAATTATACAATAGGAACACACATTAAAGAGTTCAAATTAAAATTTCCAGAATCTTAAACAGAAAAAACTATTCAAAATGATTAGTTATTCAAGAAAGAAAATTCATAGGGCACATGCTGCATATCAATATTCAAGTCTATACAATTAATTTAACTAGAATTAATTCCTAAAAAAAAATTGAAGGGGGTGTGGAGCCCGCAGGCAAATGCATTTAAAAAAACCAAAAAAAAAAATTATAAAAAATTATACAATAGTATCTCGTCACATTAAAGAAATCAAACTACAATCTCCAGATTCTTAAACAGAAAAAACAATTAACAATGATTACATAGCTCATTATAGAATGATAATACAGAAGGCACCTGTAAGTTATCAATATTCAAGTCTATACAAGAAATGTAACTAGAGTTAAAATCTGAAAAAAAAAACTGAAAGGGAAGGTTGGCTCCCGCAGGAAAAAGCATTTTAGAAAAAAATAAAAAAAAATTTAAGAAAAATTATACAGTAAGAACACACATTAAAGAGTTCAAACTGAAATGTCCAGAATCTTAAACAGAAAAAACTATACAAAATAATTTGTTCGTTAAATAAAGATAATAAAGAGGGCACCGGCAGATTATCAATATTTAGGACTATACAAATGTGACTTATGTTAAAATCCTAAAAAAAAATTGAAGGGGAGTGGTGTTGGCGCCTGCAGCAAATGCACATAAAAAAAAAAATAAAAAAACACACATCATTGTAAAATCAATACATTCATCGTTCCACTCAGAATCTAAAATATTTTAGAGGTTTTAAGAAATTGTCTTCAAATTATCACATTTAATTATTTCATATAGTGATATTATTGGTATAGGTTCAGTTTCTATTTTATAATAGATCAATAGCCAATAGGTTACCTAAATCACATTTTTTTAAATTTAAATCCCGGTAGTCGAGTTTTTGGCAAGTACCACAAAGGAGACTTATAATAATTCACATTGTAATTTAATAGAATGTCTATACATTTGCGGACCAGTTTCGGATAGTTAAATTTGGCATGCGAACTATGAATGAAATAGACAACCAGAATAAGTACATTGCTGATCACAAAAATGTCTTTAAAAGAACGTACGATTTAACAAAGACCGATTAGGTACTGAGTATAGTATATAAGTTCTATGAATTTATCTTAGTAAATAATATATTTTATAATAATATCTATGGCTATCGTCAATTATTGTCGACATTCGTCGGCGACGATTAACAATTCTAATAATTTCAGTGAACAAAAAAATAATAAGCGATCAATATATACGGACAGTTTGTTAGCACAAATTCACACTTTCGTTATGGTCAGATTATTTTCATTAAATATTTCGATACTTTCAAGTTTCAGTTCTGAGCAAGATGATGATGGAAGAAGATAGCCGTTTTTTCGGCGACGGCGGCACTCTAGCTAGATTTCACCGGAACAGTCGATGTTTACGCGTAAGTTTGTTTTCATATTATTGCTATTTTAGTATTTTACATTTACTTTAAGACTTAAATTAAATATTTATTGCCCCGGACAATCTGTTAACTGGGTGACGTAGAAGCATTTATAAGTTTAATCCTAAAAGTGCCATGTATAAAATACGCGGGACCGAACAGTCCAAAGTCCGTCTTCGTTTGACTACTCCAAGTTTAATAAGTGCCTTTTTGCATAGGTATACTATAAGCCGGGTATCACCTTAGGTTTTGCGTGAAGTATTTAAAACAATATAATGTTATCAATCTTTATATTTTATATACATAAATACATTATAAACCTCTTGTATTTTATTAGCATACTCACACATTTTGTAGTGTAGTTTATACCCTATATAGCTAGATATTAAATGTTTTGCAATTATATATTTTACTATAATTATTATTTTCCATTATCATATAATATAACAATACACTTTAAATTAAATTAGTTGTTATCAAGACAGACAGTCGAGACAAACTCTTTTCTGGATGTTATCAAAACGGATTATGCTTAAAAAAAATGCACAGTTGTCGTAGCAGTCAGTTGCTAGATCAACCCGTGAGACATTAAATAATTTTTTAGAAAAATATATGTAATATGTATGGCTCATACAATTAAGAATTTATAGTTAATAGAAATGCGGATGTTTATACTTCATAGATATTTTTTTATTCAAATCTTGTAAATAATTGAATTAAACAATCGGGTACAAATCACTAGTATCAATTTTATTATATTACGTGTAAAATCA